CTCGGGATACACCCCTAGCTAACTCTGTCCTAGCCCCGAATCCTCCACTAATGGGCTAGGGGAGGCTAACTGGCCCGACACTGGTAAGTCGGGCCCGGTACCCGGAGTTCCAGACCAGCTCTTACAAGAGCACCCGGCTCTGGCTTTCGGGACCACGCCGCTGGCTCAATCCTGTCCAGCCCTGAAAAGGACATCGAACCAGGGGAGTCCAGGGCTCTATCTAAGACGTCTTCAATCTTCTTCCCTTAGCTTAAACATAACTGCCTTGAGCCCTTTCAACATCCCCTTTTATACCCAACCCCTCCCTGAGGGGTGGGGCCCCGGGGGATCATAACGTTCGAACCAGCCCCCCCCAGGGTGTCTGGCTCGGACGTCGTAGAGGGCACTTGCTCGTGCACTTACGTAGCCCCGCCCACTGTGTTTGTTTTCCATAGGCTGCCATGCATAACGGGCCCTCTCTTTAACACCCCTACAGACATAAGCTGATCTTATGTTGTAGTTTTTTTCATTGTTCTAAAACTCTGTCTTCCTATTGCCAGTTCTCTTCAGCCACTTCACATTCGGGATTTTGTAAGCACAAGGAACTCTTTGAAGAACCATCAAATGCTGGAGCAATTCCATTGAGATTACTTAACGGAGAAGGCAGATTTAAAAGGCTACGAATGCACCCTATGTCTCAGAAAAATAGACTCCTTTATGTCCAGTAGACATAATGGAGCTTAATAAAAAAAAGATGCACCCCCTCCTACAACAGTTTGACAACTTTTTGGACTGACGTTTATCTGCAGCCGGGTCGCAACCTGTCTGTCTAGGTTTTCCCAGGGCATCTTCTTGTCGAGATAGATAGCTGACGTGGGAAATCCGTGCCTTTTCCTGGAAACAAAACGATCAAGAGATTAGATTTTGTTTTATTTCGGCAGGAAGGGCCCACTAAGCGGTGAGGCTCTACTGCAAGGGCATCTTGGTTTTTTTTGTAATTTGCAGAATAATACGCCACTCATGACAGTTAATATAGAGGTAGTTCTCCCTTCTAACTGGTATCATGAGATATTATTTCTCTTCTTCTCCTCATTGTATATTCTGGTTTATTACCTCTGAGGTTGCAATCGTAATCTGCAGATGCAGAAGAAATGAATGATCTGGAAACCAAGCATATGAATAACAACTTTGATCAGATTGCCGGAGGGAGCAAAGGAGGTTACCGTCAAGCGATGCTATTTATTTTACCAACTGCCATCCCCTGACCGCGTTGCAGCCTCTGGAATTAAAGGCTATTATAGGGCTGCTGATTCGGTGATTTTGAAAATCTACAAGGTTTAACCACATTTTTCAGGACACATTAAAATCCACGCCACGCATCACCCTACATCTCTTCCCCTTACTGTGTTGCTAAAAATCTAGTTCATCTCGGTCACAATATTCTCTCAGCATGGAAGTCTAAATGGACGGGACGAGCTGAAGCTCAGTCCAATCATTACACCGTTTGATTCTGGAAGAAGGGCTCGCTCTCATATCACTACGCAGGAATCATTTCGAGGTGTGCGGGACATCTGCTCCCAGCTGCACCACCCAGCTAAACCGCACGGACACTGTAGAGAGATTAACATTTAACATTTTCCCGCAGCTGCATTACATTTTTTTAAAAATTCAAGCACTGCAGCAAAGTTATTCCGCATCGCCCCGGCCCTGTTTTCTACAAAGACGCAAGTGAGCTTTCTTCCGCCTTGCTCCGTGCGGGTGACTCTGGCTTCAAGAAGACGTGACCTTACATTGCACCCAGGGTTGCCCCCTACGAGGAACGAATGACTTGGATATTAAATTGCAGGAATACTTCACCATACCGGAAGAGGGGAGAATTACATGATAAAGCAATGTCTTGAACGATTCATTAGTCTGCTGTTGACGACAATACGGAACTTTTAATGTCCCAGGAAGATTTGAAGATTTCGTGACTGCAAGGATTCATATTCTTAGTTTTTTTTCGGTAAAGTCACGTAGGTAAAAAAAATTAACTTAATAAAAGTAAAATAAAATAAAAATCACGACGTTTCGGAGGCAACACAAGCTTCCGTCTTCAGGTGGAACCGTCACAGCCACGACAGCTGTATCAAGTAAAATGCAGCTGTCGTGGCTGTGACGGTTCCACCTGAAGACGGAAGCTTGTGTTGCCTCCGAAACGTCGTGATTTTTATTTTATTTTACTTTTATTAATTTAAATGTTTTTACCTACGTGACTTTACCGAAAAAACCTAAGAATATAAGTCCCAGGAAGACTTACAGATTGACCAGGCCAGCTGCCTCAACAAGGCGATTATTGTGGGACAATCAAGAGGAGGGTCGTGTAAAGATGTCGTGGCAGCCATCATCTTTGTTAAAGTGTGGTCACGGTACCCGTTTTGTCACTAAAATTATTCGTTGACCAACTTTGTCTTCCATGGATTCTCAAAGAACTGGGGCACCTGGATATATTTTGTCAATACACTGCTGGATGTAAGCCTCCCCACGACATGAGGCATGGTGGGCTATTCCGTGTGTATATATAGGGTGTTTCAAAAGGATGGACCCAATTTCAAAGCAGTTTATTTCACGATGGCAACATGTTACGATAACACAAAAAGCTACAAACGGTTTAATGAGTTATTAAGTTTTACTAACCGTTTTATAAATGCTCTATGTGCCCTCCACCTGCTGTACGGACGAGAGGCCGACCGAAATACGGTTTTCCTCTGGGGTGCGTGGTCGCTCCGTGCTCTTCCCCTTACATCAACAGCATGTTTCTCAAATTGTCGGTACCAACGACGAATGCTCTTTGACATTGGCGGATCAATGCCAAAACGCTGTTGAAACGCACGCTGCACCGCAATTACGGATTGTCTTGCTGAACTGCAGAACGCAAAACGCCCCTTGTGTGTTGTGGGGTCACCGTCTTGCGAATGATTGAGGCTAGGGGCTGTTTGTGCACTGGGAGAGGCATCTAGCAGTAATCATTTGAAACTCTATGCCCAGCCCTCTCTATGCCCCGCCCTTTCAAGTGGTAAGAGTTTCATTCATGGGCGGTTCGTGGTTGCAGAGATAATAGCGATTTCAAATCGGGTCCATCTTTTTAAAACACCCTGTAGTTATCGCTGTTATAATCACTAATAAACACATTTGTGTGATTTTCTTCTTGCGAGTTTGCTATATATCTTTCATTTAATAACGAACCCACATGCATAACCATTTATAACTGCCATTACCATGTGTATTATTCTTGTCCTATTTGTGTGCTTCAATAATTTCCACAGGCAGCTGATTTATTAGTGTATATATAGTAGTTAGCTTAATGTTTGAATTGTCCGTCAACATAACCGGTTCCATAATACAGTTTTTTTTGGGTTAGATCGCATAAATATCTAAATGTGTCGTTAAACCCATTTAAATATTTACGCTATATAACCCAAAACACCTTTTTTATGGATGATATTGGTCGCGAAAGCCTACGTGTTAAACTGAATAACCGGTTCCGTTAATCAATTTATTGAGGCTATTTTCGTAAGTGGGCCACTGAAATTGCCTCCCCTGTTAATGCACTGTAATGGGGGCTTGAACTGTTGTCACAAATTCAACCGCAGTTAATTAACGTTGTAAACTTTGCGTTCATTGAATATTTACTCTTGGTTCTAAATTGATATCTGTTGAGATTAGCAAGTGTGCGTTTGCGTTGGTATCAAAAGACAAAACGTTGGATGTTTTTTCTGCAACGCTTGAGAGTTTACAATGCTTGGATGCCCTCTAAGTGGAAGATTCAATCTCAATTACCTTTCAGCAATTTGGCATGACATGAAGTGGGATCAGATAGGCAAGTTTAATTAGCAGTATAATAACAATGATGGAAATGCTAATAGATTTTACAGTAATTGAGCATTATCATCAAGTAACGCTATCATATTTCTGTGACTTCCCCCCATTAAGTGTAGATATTATGTTCTAAATAAGTAAGTACTGCTTTGACACATACTCTTTGGTCCTTTCGGTAAAGTCACGTAGGTATAAAATAAAATAAATTAAATCACGACGTTTTGATCGCAACACAAGCAATCATTATTTGTTTCTTTCGGTAAAGTCACGTCTAAAGATAAAATAATGAATTAAATTAAATAATAGAATACGACGTTTCGATTGCAACACAAGCAATCATCATCAGGTAAAATGAAATAGCGACATAAAATCCAACCATAAAATTATAGACAGACATACCAGCAGACAGACATCACCAAGATACACAGTGAGAGCAACACAGGCAACTGTGTGCTCTCACTGTGTATCTTGGTGATGTCTGTCTGAGCAACACAGGCAACTGTGTGCTCTCACTGTGTATCTTGGTGATGTCTGTCTGCTGGTATGTCTGTCTATAATTTTATGGTTGGATTTTATGTCGCTATTTCATTTTACCTGATGATGATTGCTTGTGTTGCAATCGAAACGTCGTATTCTATAATTTAATTTAATTCATTATTTTATCTTTAGACGTGACTTTACCGAAAGAAACAAATAATGATTCCTGCAGTCACGAAAGTTCTAAAATTAAGATTGGACAAGCAATCATCATCAGGTGGGAAAACCACAGCAAGAAAATGTTTACTGAAGTGGGAGAGAGATACCGTGGCAAGAGGTTATATAGGTGTAGTGGTGATACACGCTGACAGTGGAGATCGTGGGGCAGCGTGTGGTGATTGGCTGTGTGCCGGTGACGCGCGCTGACGGTGAGGGATCACAGGGCAGCGCGGGGTCATGGGTTATGTGGTGGTGATTGGCTGTGTGTTGGTGACGCGCGCTGACAGGGAGTGATCGTGTGGCAGCGCGGGGCGATTGGTTGTGTAGTGGTAACACGCGCTGGGAAAACGGATCGTAGGAACAGCGCGCCGTGATTGGTCGACTAGTGGGCGCTCACATCGTGGTCCGCAAGAGGGCTATATAAGGCGGTGCGCGCGGGCGCTCGGGGAGTTGGTGACCAGCGAAGATTGAAGACGGCGGAGGAAGAGATAGGGCCCTGCGGTACCTAGTCCCGCTGTCCTTGTAAGGACCGGGGCTCTGTGTGACCCAGAGGCGGGACCCTGGGACCCGGGGCCGAACGTCCGTGTGAGGGCCGGCTCTCGGGACCCAGAGGTTGTGACCCACGCCCAAGCTGGGGTGGGTCTGTAGGCTCCAAGGACGTTACGGGGCTGGAGAGTAGTGTGAGCATGCAGTGTGAGCCATAGTCACTACACGTGTCAGTGGAGTGTGTAGTGGGAGAGGTAGTGACCACACGTGTCAGTGAAGTGTGTGTAGTGTGAAGAATAGTGACCACACGGTGTATCGAGACAAGTCAAAGTTTAATAAAAAGTCTGCTACCCGTCAAGAGGTTTCCTGCCGTCATTCTGAATACTTCATAGGTAAGAGGGGGGATGGGCAAGGGAGTGGGGGAGGGGGAGGGGAGCGTTGCGTAGACGCTAGGAGAGGAAGACGTGAAGCTAGGACGGGGGGGGGAAGTGGGAGGCTGAGAGAGCTGGGGATGCGTGGTGGGGGGGGGCTACAACAAAGCAGCAGCAGTGCCGATAAAGCCAACAACCACAATGCAGCAGCAATGCCAAACGCTAGGGGTGCAATTAACTCGGCAAAAGACTAGTGCCCGGTAAATATGATGGAACAGTCATAAAGTATTTAAAGTTTTACCTGGTTAATAACATACTTCCAATGATTGTTTAATTTGTATCCATTTTCTCGGTGGAAGTTATGTCTATGTTTATATATCTGGATGGCTCCATGAACAAACATTTGATAGTAGCCCGAAGGTTTGCAGAGCACCTTGGTCTCGGCATGAGAGCCTACAGCGTTATAGCAATGGTCAGCCACGTCGGAGGTATTAGTTCTGCAGTGTTTCAGATCTGCCTTGTGCTCGCGAACACGGTCCGAGACATGACGTTTCGTTTCCACCATGTAACAATCACCACAGGTGCAACTTAGTTTGTAGACTCCCGGATACTGCTTTGACCAATAGAGACGGTTAAAATTATGTTTGTTTTCCTAAGAAGGTATTTTTAAATCCTTTATATTAAGTTCACTTGCTTGCGCGCTTACGACCGTGCAAATCTTTCGGTCGTTTTTTAACCCACTTCCCGTGATCCAAACGAGCTGACATTTTGCACACAGACTCGTTGTGCGTGACAATTTATTTTCGTGAAAAACAAATTAAAAATTTTTACACTTTTTAGGATTTTTTAAAAATATTTAATTACCAATTGCTTAATGGTGGCAGGCAATCATCTGACCCATAGGTGGCAGCCATCTCAAGCCAGAGGACGAGAGGACTCTAGCCGCCCGTTTCAAAGACCAATGTCCTTATATACGACTTTCCTTATATTTAATTTAAAATACCAATGTGAATAAAATGAAACTCTTACTCAAGAAAAACTGAAATGAATAATAAAATAAAACCGATGCCACGCATATAAAGGATTTATAGTGAAAAACTTTGTTTTTACGGGTTAATTTTTCTACGAGTATGTCACTCATACGTACCATTTGTCGACGGGAAGAAGTTGTACGTATATTTTGGTAAAAACTTATCAGAGCATGTTTTGTTCTTGCATGTTCACCACAAGTACGTGTGCTTAATGCAGACTTGATTCCTTGCAAAATGTGTTTATTTGGTGTTTGAACATCTTAACACCTGATTTATTGCCAGAAAGGGTAAAACTTATTCTTATTTTTCATACTCTGCTGTAAGGTTCGCCCCCCCCACAAATCCTCTTTGTTTCCCTGGGGTAATTATCACATTTCTCTTTGCCCCCATTGTGTTGAACTCGAGCCCTCTGGGTTCAAAAGTGTGGCTCTGACGCGACAGATCTGGAATAGGCTTACTTCGACTGTGTAGTGCTATACCCGCGTTTGTTGTGCGCCATTGTTTCTTTGATTGTGGGGCATCGGCGGTCTCCCTGTCAGCACTTTGTTGACTCTTACAACATCCCAATTTTAATTTTTTTGCTAATATCTTGGATCATCAACCCAATAGTGTAGGCCTCGGTATCTTGAATTCAGCAGTTTCGCCATAGATGATGTGCCCACGTTAATTCTCAATCCCATTGTTAAATTCAAACGATGAAATATATGTTGGAGCTCTAGCCTAGCACCCTGAAAGAGTTCTGCCGACGACAACGCAGTGAGGATCAAAGTGGGTTCACCAAGGGCAGACATTCAGCCATGAAATACAAAAGCCCGAATCAATTCGATAACACGGTAACAGTACAATACCGACACGTAGAAAGGGAGCTTTAGAACAGACAACGAAATGGCTCTTGAAAGGGTGGAGTGGGAATTTGTTCACCACGCGATATATTTGCGGTATGGTCAACTTATGTACTTACACCCGTCAGTTCTGGTGAGCAATAACGGATTGAGCCTCCAGTGCTTAGCTGTTATAATCCATAATGCAGAGATAATTCAATGAGTTAAAATTGTGGATACGTCATAAGATCAGTCTAAATGCCGATGGTATTTTAATAACCATTACACACTGAATTTCGATTTAAAGCTTTCGTGACTGCAGGGATTCATCTTGGTTCTTTCGGTAAAGTCACTCCAAGCACGTGTGCTGTTTCATTCAGACGCTGTCGCCTCGACAGACCTGGTTTCACCTGAGGACGGCTACTTGCCTTGTGGCCGAAACGTCGTGAGAATTATTTTATTATGTTTTATTTGTATTATTGTATTACTTCCCTTCTACGTGACTTTACCGAAAGAACCAAGAAGAAGAACATTACACACTGATGTAAATTAATCACCCGCCCTACCATTAATTATAGAGAACTGTAGCAGCGCTTCTGGATATATATTCTAGCAAATCAGAAACTATCCACTTGCTCTTCTCACGCTGTAGAGTTGTACCTAATCTATATCCATCTGTATTCACCTGGAGATGAATACACATTCAACATTAGAGAGTGCGCAATACTAAATCGCCTCACGCAATTATATACATGCCAATTTATTCAGGCACTTTTCAATATAAGAAAATAAAACGCCGTAACTGTGATTCTTTTGAAATCTCTCTTTATCCACGTGAACCTAAATAAAAAATGACGATACTTGCAAGGATGTTACGAGACTTCATGATGATAGGCCTACCTACTAGTATGTTGAACTCCTTCAAACGGTTGAATTCAGTGGCTATCTGCTATTGTGATGCACGATACACTTTCTCTGAATTAAGATGTAATATAATTTAATCTAATCTAAAATATCTTGAGGGAGGGAGGCACTTCTGGATTTCTGGAGGTATTAACTGACAGTCTGGGGGCAGCTGTTGGATCCGTTAAGAAACTCGACTTGAAAAATGTGAGACAAGATTTGCAAAAATATTTTTCTCTTGAACGGCTTTTTTTTCCTCTTGCTCCCAACATTTCCCCTCAATCATTACACTGTGTAACACGATTTTTGTTCCTGGGTACTAAGTGTTAGTTTCTAATTGCTTATGCCTCTGAAGTATAGAAATTGGCTATTATTCCCCACAAATTTAGCTTTTGTGACCAGGACTTTACGTGCAGGAATGACACAAATGCACACATTTTCTCATTGAAAATAGGTACATTTCAAAATATCACTGTCCTGATCACAAAAGCAAAGTTTGTGGGGAATAATATCCATTTCTGTACTTTTGAGGCATAAGCAATTAGCAAATAACACTTACTACCCAGGAACAAAAACACATGTTTTTGTTACGGTGTTATATCCAACCTCTCCACGATCTGCCCCGCATAAAGTAAGTTGAAGGGTCTTCCTAAACCGATTAACCTCCACCTTTAAATCCGACATTAGCTCCATCGCGAAAAATCTTCCCAGTTAGATTGGTAATCACGGATTTACCTGGCGTCTTTTGGAAGTGTCAGGGTCGCCCCGAGGGTACCTCATCAACTTAATTATACCGGTAACAGCGCAAACCGACAGCTCCACCGTTCAAATGAGTAACCGTAGTGCCTCAATTGCGTCGCTGTCAAGACGCACAAAGGCTGACGCGTTCAAACGCGAGCTTCAAACCTCGCTAGGTTCGTCTTCCCACGGTTATGCGCCGCGTTTGTTGACACGCGAGTGGGAGGGAGGTGCCGGCTGTCGAAACGGGTTTAAAAGGGGGCTCGCGGACCGGGAAAATCGAGCACAAGAGTTGGTTAGAGAGCAATTTGAGGGTGGAGGGGGGGAGCGTGGAAAATTAGGCTTGGAGAGATCAAAGAGGGAGAATCAATTGAGAGGGTTCGAGGAGGCTTGGGATGGGTATATAAGGGCTTGAATATAGCATATGAGGGGTTCACTCGGGTTTGTACACCATTATTTGTTGTGGTATTGGCTTAAATGATCAGCCCTTAGGCAACTATGCGGTTGAGCCACTTACAGAAGGAAGGCAGGAATCCCCACGACTAGAGATCTCGATCAGTATTAACCACTATGGGGCCGTCCATAAATGACGTCACGCACCTAGGGGGGGGGGGGTCAGACATTTGTGACGATGTGTGATGATTGGGGGGGGGGGGAGAAATGTGACGTCACATCAAAATGCGCAACTTAAAATAAATATTAACAACATCACGTTCTACTTAATTAAATAGACGTTTTGATAAATGCTTTCTCCTACAACATCAGAGTGCAGCGCCACATTAAATACGCACTACAATAACATTAGTTTAAAGCGATTTGAAGCATGTTTTTTTTGGGAGGGGGGGGGCAGAGCTTTGTGACGTCATATTTGAGGGGGGTCTGACTTTTTGTGACGCCGTGTGACGAAGGGGGAGGGGGGGTCAAACATCGTCCAAAATCGCGTGACGTCATTTATGGACGGCCCCTATACTCTTCAAGAGGCGTGGGGTATTTCGATTTAAAGCTTTCGTGACTGCAGGGATTCATCTTCTTGGTTTTTTCGATAAAGTCACGTCGAAGGGAAATAATAAAATAATAACAATAAAACATAATAAAAAATATAATAAAATAATAAAATAATATTATAATTGAATTATGTTTTTTTATTTTTTTTTATTTCCCTTCTACGTGACTTTACTGAAAGAACCAAGAAGAGGCGTGGGGTAAACACAACATTCCAAAGTGACACCTTTTCAAACATTTAGAACATTAAAAAGGAGGTCTTCCCAGAATGTTTTAAGTGTTAAACATATCATCATCGGCCGTAATCAATTCACTGTTGTGTGCAGGCATGTTCTTATTCCATCACCATAGTTCTCAGTACTGTGACGTAACAATCCACCAAAACGCCTGCACATTGACCACATTCATCGCTCCATTTTTTTACACGCTTTCATTTAACTCACTCTGTCTGTTGTTGTTGTCGTTGTTGTTGTCGTATCCTCAAATCTTGTAACTCAATTTTAACCCACTTCCCAATATAGTATCG